TCAGCCTGACTCATTGATCCTTTATCTGACTGAGGTTTCAAGTTATAAACCATGGCTCTGAAATACCAGTACCATAACTCAGGGGTTCATGTTTTTCATGTCAAGGACATCGACAATTGATGCACATCAGGCCCCCTCATTTTTAGGAGAGGATCTTTTTTTTTTTTTTAGGTTTAAGATTACGAAGTCTTCATAGTGAATTAATGATTAAACTGGGATCACCATAAATTAGAATCAATTATAATGGCCAACCCTATTTTATCCCTTCTATCATCATGTGATAAAAGTTAAAATATTGTTTTCCTCCTTTTGATTGGCACCCCCTACAACCACTCAAGGACCCCAGTTGGTCCCTGGACCCCTGTTTGAAAACCACAGGCCTAACTGTGCTGTGTATTGATAAATCTATGGCACTGTCTATGGTGCTGAAGTAGCAGACAGATTTGTGCCTTTTTCACTCAGTCCCACCCTTTTGTCAGTTTTGTCTTGGATTTATAATATTCTCTAAACTATATAATATTAATACTCAATTATATACTATACTGTAGTGCTTATATATATAGATCTATAGATTACTGTCACCATCATGATCAAAGTGACAAATAGCAACAAGTACATGCTAAAGAGTGAGAAGACCATAAAAACATGCTGCTGTCTGTAGTATTCCTATAATACCTTCAGATTTCTATAATCATTCAGTAGTGTCTGTGTGGCTGAAAGTACACTGTCAGACCAAGCCACCTCTATAACTAAATATTTTTGAGGAGACATGACAACCGATATCAATTTTAAGGTCAGGGCCATTCCCCCATTAAAACATAAACAAATCATAGACTGGGTTTTAGGATAGATGGTGGGATTTCTGGACTTGGACAATGGAGTCTGTACCCACCTTGAACTGTATAAGTTAGGCATGGTGTATAGATATGGCGTACATTGTCAGGAAACTGCATCCCGAAATTCTGTAACAAGTTCTTGCTCCCAGGCATTTTTGAATTTCTCACATGCCTACTCTATTTTGTCATACATGATAGTAAAAATAATAGATTCGGGATTATTGGTCGGACAAAACAAGACATTTGAAGTTGTCCCCTCGAGCTGTGACATGACTTTTCTGTCATTTTATAAACAAAGCTGTTAACTGATTAATTAAGATAATTATTGGCAGATTTATCAGTCATTAGTTGCAGCCCTACTGAAAAGTTCCATCCAGTAGAAAGCATTATAGCAGCGGTTTTTTGTGTATTTACCTTTAATTTACCCTTTATAACCTACTTGCAAATGCTAATGTGTTAAATTGAAAAATAATTAATTTTAAATTCTATCTGTGTGAATACATTTATTTTATTTTTTGTCATTATAAGCTGTTTGATTTAAAATATGTACCCATTATACACTTCCAAACTACTTTTACTTTTGACCCAAATTAAAACATAGACAAACACACACACAATGACCATCATCCATTACTTTCACAGTGCAGGGACAGTCAGATTTGCGTAGGTGGCAGAAGGTAGGTCCAAATCCCTTGTGGGGCCCAGGGATGATTAATGATTAAAGGGGATTAGGAGGTGGGTCAGGACTCGGCTACTAGTCTCACTCTGATGCTGCCGTGCCTGCTTTCATACTATTTGTGTCACTACAACTACCACTCACCTCACTCAGGACTATTTCTGAAGACATCAGCAGGAAAACAAACTGAAAATGAGAGAAAATGATGTCAGATCTTCAAGATAAATGCTGACCAGGATAAGGTAGGTTCAGTGGACTTCTTAGATTCTGTTTCACTGTGTTAGCTATTTCTTACATTTTATTTTTATGAACTTTGTCCAGACAGAAATACCAGGATCACTGGATTTGAAAGGAAATTATATATTTTTAAAACCAAATTACATCTTGCTGATGTTTTCTCAGTTTGTCTCATATGTAGATTGTTTTACATTTATCAGTGTATTTTGCCTTAACAGTGTTTTCCATTCCAAAAAAATGGCACCTGTCTTATGAGAATATTTATTTTTCATACTCTCAGACCTACCTGCATCTACAGTATAACCATAATGCAGCGTCCACAAGATATCGATCATGAGTACCAGGCTAAGCTGCTTATGAGAGGACCTTCAAAGGACTGTACAACCAATCCCCCTTCCCTTGGTCCCCCACACCCCCTGGAGGATAACCTGTTCCTCTCCCCTGCACTACCTGTGTCCCACCCTTAATCCCCCCTTGGACTTAAAAGAAAACTTAAGAGAGGAGATATATATACAATGGCAGTCTTGAGAGTGAAGTTCACCAAGACCAAGAGGGACAAGCTGGCCCAGGTGCTGTGGATCCTGAACTGGATCTCAGTGGTGACAGGGGCCATCCTGTTCAGCCTGGGGCTCTTCCTCAAGGTGGAGATCAACAAACGGGAAGAGCTGATGGCTGAGAGGGACATCCAGTACGTGCCCAACATGCTGATTGCTGTGGGCCTCATCGCCTGTGCCATAAACTTCCTGGGTGGGAAGATTTGCTACGACTGCGTGGACAGCACCAAGTTCTTGCGCTGGAAACTGATCATGCTGCCCTACATTATATGCACCTTCTTCTTTACCTTCTGCGTGCTGGTGGGAGCTCTGATGTGTTACAGCATGCGTGGGGAACTAGAGGAGTCTCTGAACCTGGGCCTGACAGACGCCATGAGGTTCTATAAGGACACCGACACACCAGGACGATGTTTCCTGAAGCGCACTGTAGACATGTTGCAGATAGAGTTCCAGTGCTGTGGAAACAATGGCTATAAAGACTGGTTTCAGATTCAGTGGATCAGCAGCCGTTACCTGGATATGACCCAAAAAGACGTGTCAGAGTAAGTGCAAACTACAGAATGAGGACACTGATTTAGTATTTTTACACACTTATCATAAGATGGCATGAAAAATGACAATTCACATAACACCCTCCCCCTAATAGCTCAAAATAAGTGTTAGTACAACTCAGGGCACCCATAATAACTAAAAGAGACAACATTTTTAAACCATATCATAAAAATTGAATGATAATTTTCACAATAAAGCAGAAATAGACATTTCCAATGTATGGCAACCATAACAACTGCTTAAGAATACAAAGATACAAAGTAAAAGGTTAAAAAAACTAATAATAACTTTTTTTAACTTTCTATTATGATGAAAATCAAGTGAAGGAGGGAATTGGTAAAGATAAAACATAACCACTAATATCCATAAAAATCCATGTGTAGTCTGTCTCATAAGTGAAATATTGGTCTTTTTAGGTTGACTGAAGCATTAAAACAGCGACAGGCTTGTTGTCCTGTTGACCATAATATGCATTGCAATATGCAAGAACTGAAATATACACAAATATAAATTGATGAGTAAAAGTCAGGCTTACCTACTTTAAGCAAAAAGGAAGACAACATATCCCCTGCCCTGTAATAATCTTTGACTCACTAATGTCAAATCTTTTACACACAACAATCATAAAAACCGACCCTGAGCTTATCCCTCTTTTTCCCGATGTCTAGCCGAATAAGAAGTAATGTGGAGGGGAAGTACTTGATGGATGGAGTCCCCTTCAGCTGCTGCAACACCTTCTCCCCCCGGCCCTGCATCCAACAGCAGATCACCAACAACTCCGCTCACTTCAACTACGACCACCAGACGGAGGAGCTGAACCTGTGGATGAAAGGGTGTCGGCAGGCACTGCTGGAGTACTATACCCACATCATGCAGTCCATTGGCCTCACAGTCCTCATCACTTGGCTGTTTGAGGTGAGGAGATACACGTTGGTGACAACAGAAGGTTTTTAATGGTGAAGTTAAAGGGGAACTCCACTTTTTTCTTTTTACGCATCAAAGTTTGTTTCAGGTCTTGGGGAGTACTACTACATATAAGAAAAAAAGTTGTATAAAGTATTTTGTGGCTCCAGAAGTCTGATAGATTGGCACAAGGGATGTGGTTGAGTTGCATTGTAGGTAATGTAGGTGCCAGGGTTTGATGAGGAAGAGGAAAGCATGGCATAAAAACATCTCTGGTTCTGCTGCATCGATTTAAATACTTTTCCATCTTGAGTCTGGCAATGTTATACGAGTGCAATTCTAAACCAGTGTGTTGCTGCTACCACTGTAACAATAGATGTTTAAACTCTTGTTTTTGTTTATCTTAAAATAGTTTAAATTATGAGACATTGTCTTGTCACATAGTTAAATCACGTCAAAAGTATTCAGAAAAGACTGGCATTGGGCTTTTTTTCTTTCCATTAAAAAGTTAAGATTTATAGACATGATTGGTGTCACTTCAGCTTTTGCATAAGGACTGTTATCTTACATTCACTTCAAACACTTGCAGTACTAATCCATGAGTAAATCTCTACTGTCGTATTATCTCTAGGTCATCCATGCAGCCCTTGAAGTGTACTCTCTTATTGTCCTCTACTCAGTTGCATATGAGTTTCTATAACAGAGGAGGAAGCAAACAAACAAACAACTTCTTTGACCTCTTGTATCATTTCTGTTCACACATTTATATGATATTGTCACTAATATGCGTCTGTGTGTCTTGTTTCAGCTCTCAGTGTTGACAGGAGTTCGTTTCCTCCAGACCTCCCTGGAAAATGTTCTGAGGCAGGGCGACCCGAACTCTGAGTCCGACGGCTGGCTGCTGGAGAACAGCTTTATGGAAACAGCCCGCATCAACCTCAACATCATCAAAAGCCTTGGCAAGTGCAACCAGATAGACACAGCCAACAATGGAGACCCCAACATCAATGTTCCATCCACCTCTAAAGCACACTATGGGCCAGATAATGTGCCCCCGAAGCAAACACCTGAAGCCAGTTGACCTTTCTCCGGCCTCAGTGAACAGCTTCCCTGAAAGCCTGAGTAAAGGCCTTCATACAAACTACTTTTAAAACAGTTACATTTATTGGTTTTAATCCATAAGAGTCCAAATACATACATGTTTCATTTTCATTGATGCAAACAGCATACCATAAATCATACATCACCACAAATGTACATATTTTACTGTACATCTGTACTGTAATCTGTTGTTTACAAATTATATACTTGTTGCCTGTGTATCATGTGGTTTTGCAACAGGTGTCTAAAACAGTTTCATGCACCTGTCAGTTGCAACACTGGAGTCAAAATTAACTTGAAATATATTATTGTTTGATGAAAACAAAATTTATGATAGGGGTCAGAGGTTAAAGCCCACAATTCATTTGCCTGACTTTGCCTCAAAGTATGAAATAGAATGCATTCAAAAGAGTTTAGAATTAACTTAGCAATAAGAATAGTGGGGTGATTTGGCATCGAGTTAAATAGGTCTTGCAGTATGAGACCCGGAAAAGCAGATCTCTTATCTGGGTTTTTAGATCCCTTCTGTGCATTTTAATTACTTTAGCAAACAAAGTGGTACCAAAGGTAGTAAACAATGGGATAAAAACAGTGTGTTCTTGCTTTCACAATAGTTAAAAGCACTTGGCCAGACAGAAATCTAATCGAGAACATATAATACATATTCTAGAACATTTGAGCTGTCAGTACAATGGATCTCACGTGCCTCAGCAATGCCACCATGGTCTTATGAAAACACCTCAGTCATTTTCGCTGGGATGAGTTACCAAACACTTGACAATAAAGCTTCTGAGCTGGTGATGTCTGGGTCTTACTGTTTGTGATTGTTTCATGAGGGCTGCAAACCAGTACATAGCAAACTAGGCTACTATGTCTTACTTTGTTTTTGAGGGTAAAGCATATTGGTTGGTAGTCAAAGGAACTCTGCTTTCTCTGCCTTTCTTTTCAAAAATGATAGATCACATGGCAGCTGAGAAGGCAAATAACAGCTTAAACATTTGGGGAGAAAAACTTAAGTTTTTCTGGCTATGAGACATTGTGAAATAGGGGAATGTTGCCTATTTTTGCCTCATCTGGGGCTCTCACTTAAACAAAACAATTATTGATTTATTCTATGAGATGTTGTTCCATTATTATAAAACAAATGAATTTTAGAAATTGACACTTCTGTTCTCAGACTGACTCAGGGCACAGGAAAAGTTATGTATAGAGGCTAGTGTCTTTATTTCCACAGCCTGGAAGTCATGTAGTACTGTCAAACAGCACAAAAAAAAGGAAATTTTATATTCACACATTTTTTACTACAAAGGCTGAGCAATAATGAATGGAGTAACTAAAAAGATACCGCATATACCTTAGATTCTTTTTCAATAAAAAGTACATTCCTTACTTAAATACAATATTGAAATACTTGTTTTTACTTTCATTCAATTTGTGTAAAGAGAATCAGCATCATATGGTAAAATGTGACCACAAATCTGTCTAGCAATGGTCCCTTCAACAGTAATTTTTAATGTGAATGTCTGATGATCTCATGTTTTTAATAGGGTTTTTTAAAAAGGCATATCATGAAGAATTGTAGAGATGTTTGCTTACTGTGTCTCAGAATAGTGAATCTCTTGTAAAACAATTTTGAAATTAATGTATATTCTATAAATGTTTTTTAAATTTCTAACACAAAAAGAGAATGCAGACAATCCACAGCATTACTGAGGAGAGAACTCAAATACATAAACTGATAACAGAAACATATTGTGTATATCGGATGTTTGTCTTTATTTGAATGAGCCTCTTTGCAAATAACATTACTCTAGGAGAAACTCATTCTCACAGCAGACAATCAAATTAAAACAAGGCGACTTGGGTTTACTCATTATCCATCACTCTCCGCTATTCTTCTTCCTCTTTTGAATGTCCCACTTGTCTAGACTGCAGCAGGGGTCTCATCGGGGAGGGATTGGCTGCTCAGGCAGCCTCCTTTGATTGTAGGAGAGTTGTTTGTGTGTGCGTGTGTGTACATGCATATATATATATATA